TTTTTTTTTTTTTTTTGATCAAATTGTTCCGAGAAAAGTTCATATTTTTTAGTATTTTTTTTTTTTTCGTTCATCTTATATATTTAAATTACCTCGGATAGTGCCGATGTTAAGCTCTAAAACTAACTTGTTATTAGAGAGTTATATATATATATTTTTTTCAAACAAAAGCATTCCGTTATCATTCAATATCGATCTAACGTTACTTATCACAAGGCAAATAGATACTTCTCACAGTTAGTTCTGCTATATTAATCGCTCGAATGTGCAAAGTGCCAAGTTTGTTAATTGTTTCAGGCAATCAAACTGTCAGCCAAGTTCCCGACTTTCATTCAATTTGAAACTTCTCGGTATGAAATATGCGAGGAATGCTGAGGGCGTTTGGGCGCATGCGCGCAGTAACGCAATTCTTTGTGTGGACCTCGTACTTACGAGCAATTAGTTGTTAGATAAAGAGAGAGCGTGAATAAATGGCGGAAATTGGATTAACTCAGCCAAACTGGGAATAGATGCTCTGTTGTGTTTGTGGCTCAAAAGGGAAAGCAAGGAGTTATTTGAAATTTATTCTTTGCTTAGGGCAAGAGATTAAATATAGCAGAGTTTAGAGAAGATTTTAAATAAAAAATAGTTCACAGTAGTCGAGAAAAGCTTAGCAGGCAACCATCACCATTTTTGATTTTAGCAGTAGGTGTATAGTATAGTAAGTAAGTGTATAGGTACAGTTGTGTATGTGAGAGAGAGTAAAAGTTGTGACTATGAGTAGAATAACTGATGAATATGGTATGAAAATGAGTTGAACTACGATTTTTACTGAAAAAAAAGTCTAGGCTATTTCGAAATCAATGACTTGCTATTCCTAATTTTCATCAACTAGCGCGGGTCTGATGATTTTGAGGGGACATCCTATATGAATACTAAGATTCAAGAACTTTTTGAAATACATAAATTCAAATTAATGATTTTGAGTTAAGCAGAGACCAAAATGAAAGATCAAAAAATCGTAGGCTACATGACGCTATGCCATCCCCTGATTCCGTCTAGCGTCTGGACAAATTCTCTCAACTAAGTTTTCTTTGACAGCATCAAAACAAACAAAGTCCTGGCGATGATGAACTATAGTGGGCAACACTTTTTTTTGGGCGCTGCACGAGTTCGTTTAACCGAGATTTGCCTTAAAAGAACTTAGATCGCTCTTAGCGTAGAAAAACTGAGCTCCGACGACGAGATCGTCCGCGCTGGATAGATTATTTAGAAAATTGGTCTGATGCTTAATATGCAACTAGTAAAAGTTCTTTGTCAACACCCAGACAGTTTCCTGGTTATAATAACCCAGTCGAAGAAAATAGGGCCTACTGTGAGCCCTTATTTGGATCTGTTGAAGCCATAGGCCTTCTTTGCTCTCTTATCTACTCCTTCTTATTTTGTATGGAATGGCTAGTGTTCCAAGGCCTTCAGATTAACTTTGTTTGCCTTAGACGGCGAAAATTGATGTGAAATTATCAGATATATTTTTTTTTTTACTTCTGTTCCGTTGCTTTGGAAACACATCTTCTCAACTGCCTTCGAATAACAGCGGTATTGGCTGGTCTTTTAACAAACAGCTTCCAAATTGAAGGTCTTATTGAAAAGGTTCTTCATAAAAGTGTTTCTTAGAAGTGCTATTCATTTTGCCGACTGGGAGGCTTACATTCTCCTAAAAGAAAAACAAATCTTCAACAGAGTCCTGAGCTTTAGACCAGACCATTGTTGTTTCGTGCCTCTGCTTAAGTGATGAAAAACTCTGCTGCTTGTTTGGAAAGTAACGACAAATAAGGACTTAACCTGCCATCCAAGAATATTGGAACCACAGTATGTACACTATCTATAATTAATGTTGTCTTAAAAATAACTAAGCTAAGTAGATACAAGTTATGGACGCAAAATGAACGTAAGCACGGCTTGATGGATATAATATTTACAAATGGGGAACAATTATGCAATAGTTTGTATGTTATAATGCGATTTGAAAAATAAGATGAAGCATTTGGATTAGATGAGACAAACATAGAGCGAGACAAGCTAAGTATGTAATTGCTGATTGGTCGGACATTGTGGTAACACACACTGTTGTTTTCAACTCATACACATATAGTTTCTATTAAAAGACATTGTGCGAATTTAAATGGCGATTTCGATTGATTTGCTGTATATATGTACTTGGACTGACTGACAAACGAGTATTAATTTTGTTTGTGTGTGTGTTTGTGTGTGTGTGGGTGGGATGCTTACTTTTTCATCAGCGAACGAACTTTTTTAATTGTTCGATTCAGAATAGTTTTATTGTTTGCGTTGTTGCTGCTGTTGTTGTGGTGGGTATTTCCTGCCGCACTGCTGCTACCCAACGATGTTGTGGAAGTCTTGCCACTATTCTGACTACCGCGATGCGTATGCGCCGATGCGCGCGTCTGCGCTCTCAGCATGCTGCCGCATGAGGTGCCACTGCTGCGCAGCGATTGTGAGTCCTCGCGCTCATCCTCCGTTGAGCTGATGCCCTCGGGACTACGTCGTATAATCGGCACCGCGTGATGATGTTTCCGCACGACGTTGCGTTCGGGCGTGGTGGCCGCACTAGAGTTGGAAGACGATTCGCGGTGCACGCTGCCAGCCCGCTGCGGCATTGGTTGTGTGCGCATGCCCCGATTCAGATCGGGCGTTATGGGCGTGGCAAGATTTTGCATACTCTGCGTACCCTCCATGGGTGCGATTGGTGGCATCGTGATAACCGCCAATGTTTTCTCGTCCAGAAAATGATCAAGTGAGCGCGATTTGCGGTGTTGCGGATTGGGCGGCGCTGCATTCGTTGATTTTTCACGTCTCGCCACCACTTCTACCGCCGGTTCGCCAAGTTCGGTGAGTGAGCCCACCGACGAGGCGTAATCGTTGCCGGGTTGCAGTGTGCTCGTCGAACTGGCGTTGGTGAGCGCTGTGCTGCCGGCAGCGACCAGCGCCGCCATCTCTGCAATACGGTCATCGGGGTCGTCCGAGCCGTCGGTGGTGTCCAACAAGCCGTCGACACTATGACTGCGATAATTTGCAGCGCCACCTGCCGCCGAACTGTTTATGTTATTGTTGCTGCCGCCGCTGCCATTGGCATTGGTAATGCCCCCGGCTGAGCTACGGCGTGGCGTGCGGTAGCTGTATGGCGACACATTTTGCATGGAGCCACCTATGAGTGGCAACGCCTTCTGCTGTGCCGACGTTTGCTGGGTGCGGTAGGGTGGAAGTATGTTGTTGCGCTTCGAACCACGCCCGAACATGCTCAGCTGGCCGTTGCTGCCGAGGGGCCCGCGCTGTCTGGCCGGTGAGGGCGATTGCCGGTATCTATTTGCCTGGTGATTAGCTGCTAGTTTGTAATTAGTGTTAATTAAATATGAACGATCATTAAAAATTTGCTTTTTAGAATTTGTTTTATAGAAGAAGGTTGGGAGCATAGAAACTACTGTTTAAACGACTGCTAGACCTAATATACATATGTATGTACATATATATTTATATGTACGCTTTAAGAAAAATTTTTTTTTTAAATTTTAACTCTAATAATTTTATGAGTAATCGAATATTTAGGTAAAGGTGTAAATAGAATTAAGTTAAGTTCGAGTTAAGGAAGTTGGGTTTGGGGTTCCGTTTTTTTTTTGCTTTTTCTGTTCACCTTTTCTTACTAACTTTTAGTCTAAATTAATAGCTATCAAATAAATTACTATAAGCTTGTATATGTAGGTGAATATTCGAAGAGTTTGCAATCTACACATAATCATGACGATCATAAGCATTCATCAATTATCGTCAACCATTTGCGATCATATTTTTTTTTTATGATAACTTTCTGTTTTCTTCAAACTCGTTTTTTATCATCTGCATATATGCATGATTTCATATTGCGGGGCAATCCAGGCTATCATCGTCTTTCGCATTTTGCATTTTGTATTTCAACGCTGGATCACCCCTCACTATGTATTCGTATTGGTTGTATTTGTAGTTGTAGTCGTATTTTGTTGTGCCCCACCTTGTCCGCTGCCATTCGCCGCACCACCGGCGCCGCCGCTGCCACATACAACACCACTGCCACTGCCACCGACGACACTGCCGCCGCCCACACTCTGCTGATAGTCGGAATCGTTGCTGTGCATTCTTTGGTAGCTCACCGAACCGGGTGTGCTGGGTATGCCTACAAGCCGATCCAAATTCTTTTCACCACGCATGAATCTAAATGAATGAAGAAATGAAAGGAGAAGAACAAAAGCAAAAAAAAACGTTATTGAGCAAAATTTAAAAATTTGAATGATAAACATAACAATATTTATATTTTGAGTAGGTACGAGTATGTGTGAAGAAAGTGCATTGACGTGCAATTTCGTTAATTGAAGTAAAAATTTATAAATCTGCCCAAACATCGAAAGCAAATGAAATTCCTAGACAAGACATCAATATAAGAAAAAAAAAGTTCTTTGCTTCATTAAATAAACTGCACTTGGGTAAACAATTTGTATTTTATCCTCCACATCGGCGCTGACAATTTAAAATTCGCAAAGAGCGTGACAGCTTTAAAAAGTAATAGTAGACGCTCTAGCATTTAAATATAGCTAAGTTATGAATTTATGGTTCTCTATATATGTATGTATATAATTTTCCAGATGCAAAATTCACTCTTCCTTAAGGCTAAAACACCGTGCGACAGCCAATTTTACACACAAAAACTCTACAGAATTTTCTCTTTGATTTGATACCCATATTGTTATTCCACATTGCATTGAATTTTTTACATAATTTTTTTAATTAATCATATCTTTGAACCTTCAAAGCAGTGTTGCCAACTTTTACATTTCAAAAAGCACCAAAACTTGGACATTAAAACATTGGCATATCTGGAGAAAGAAAAATCGAATCGCAACAAACGAAAATGAAATTTAAAGAAGAAGAAATGAGCAAAAAAAAATTTATTTTCATAATATAACTTCAAATATCGCGTAAAACCGTGTTTTTGGCACTTTGAGGTTAGGATATCTTCTGACGTGTTAGAGAAATTTTGCATATTTGAATTCAGTACCAAAAAATCTAAAAGAACCGGTATATATTTCAAATTACTTATTTCATGTTTTAACTATATATTTATGAGAAATCTGAGTTCTGAAAAAAACCACTCAAAAAGCACTAAATCTAGTGCTTAAAGCACCAAGTTGGCAACTATGCTTCAAAGCCCTTTAAAAAAATCCAGACGTCAAAGAGAAAAACTAAAAAAACAGCTTTATTATATTTGGCCCATAGTTTTGTAAGTGTGTTGACTGTTTCATGTGTTTGGGATTTTTTTTTTTGGTTTTTGTCGCACGGTGTTACTTTATTGAGGTTCAAACAACTCTGAAACTAATCGTTAATTTAATTTATTTATTTGTGCTAGTTTTTTATTCACTTCTTTCCGATTCTGATAAACCAATTGATTGCCGATTTCGTTTAAAATTACCCGTCTATATGTTTCTTGGTCTTTTAAATGGTATCAAAATGTGCATTTAATGATCATTATTATTTAATACTCCGTTAGATGGAATCTTTTTTCGTCTTTACAAAAAAAACTGCAGACCTATGTGATACCCTTCCAAATTTTCCATTTAGTTTTTCGTTCATTATCCATCATTGGCTCTTTTGTGCTTCGTGAACCCCAAGCGACTAATTATGTGACTTTTTATTGCATGTAATTACCAGTTAATTTGTGTAAATGAACCATGCGAATGAGCAGTTTAATTTACTAAAAAATTACTAATAAAAGTATGGTGAATTGAATTTAATTTAAAAAATGTAAATCTGAATTTCGTAAAATGCATAAATTTAACAAATCTTGAAATATGAAAAAAAAATAATAATTATAGTCACAAATATGAATAGTTTAATGTACTAGAATAAATAATTAAAAAATGGTAAACATTTGCGTTGTTTAATTTATGCCCGCCCTAAGCGTCCTTAGATTAAAAAAAACTACCTCTTATTAGTTTTTTTGTGGTCGAATACTTTGGAAGAATAAACTGTGATGGAACTTTTATTTTGAGCTTTTAATACATTTTATACCAAAGGCGATCAAAGAGAGCTTTTATTCAGTGTGCGTCCAAATCAGTGATGATCAGTATTTATCAAGTTTTAAAAAGTTTCTGCCGCGAGACATTTTTTGCTTGTGATTGTTTATATAGACAGGCACGCATCGGCGTAGCCAGAATGAAATTTAGGGGGAGTCTCGACCCTATTAAGCTGGCATTTCAGGGTACTATTTTATATATATATAAGGAAAATTTGAAAGTTAGGGGGGCGGCTCGAGCACCCCCTCGCCCCTACCTGGCTACGCCCATGCAGGCACGGGATAAAAGCTCTCATCGCCCTTCTTGATGCCTGTACTACAGTGATTTTCTATTCAACGTCCGCGGGCAAAACTTTTTTACGCTTTCTATACAGTTTGTATTGATGTGCACAGGGTGAAAGCTCTCTCTGATCGTCACTGCTGTATAAATTAAAGGTATCGAAGAGAATACGCTCAAAATGCTTTGAAGAAAATTTCAGATCTACCATTTGAACACTGGTTATACATTATGTACATACAAAACCAACTACAGCGCTGAAAATGGTATTTTATATTCTCTTTTTCGAAAAGCTTATCCATTTTCAGTTCTGGTTCCCCCAACCCAACACTTCATAGTAGTACACGATGATGCTTCCGAATTCAATAAGTTCACGTGTTTCCGCGTTTTTTTTGTGTAATTTCAAAACTTGAAAATTTCCATACAGTATAATTAGCTCTTGCCCCATTAGGTGATCGACAATTTTTCAACCAGAACATGAGTTTTAGCTCTTCCCTTTCGAGACGAAATTTAAAATCAATTCTCTTTTCTGTATAATTTTCAAGGAGTTAGGAGGTTACAGTACATAAGTGGCCGAGCAAATACCACAGTGCAAGAGAGTTTATCTCGGCCCCTCAGGGAAAATCTTATCTTCAAGCTGAGGATATGTTCGAGGTCCCTGGTATTGTTTTCAGACATACCTTCCACTGAGATGGGTCGAATTCATGGGAAAATTCATAGAGATTGGTGCAAAATAGCGATTAATCTTTTTTAATTCACCCTTATTGGTTCGAGATTATTTACTCCAGTACCACGGTTTCCATTTTTTTAGTGACCGAACTAATATTTTAGCTTTCGTGTTAAATATTCTTAATACCAGTAGTCTTGCATGATTAATTCAATAATGACAACTGAACTAATTTTTATTAAATTTTACTTTTTCGTTAAAGCCATATTTTAGACGAGTGAATATTTGAAGAAGCCACGCATGCACATCTAGCTTCTCTACTAGTCTAATGAATACTTAAGAATGTATATAAGTGATGAAAATGTACTTTGGTGTGTTAGTTGGGCCAATCGTTTTTATTTCGGGTCTTCGGCGCTGAATTAAATTTTTTTTTCGAAATTCCATTATTTTTTTTAATGAGATGTGCAAGATCTGAGTTTTTGAGTTCCGAGTTCTTCATACCATGCATGGGAAAATGGAGAAATGATAAGAAATTTTAAACTTCTTAAATAATTTAGCTTGCAGCAAATCTTGAACTAAAAAGCGGCGCATACACTAGGTAGTTAAAATATACAGTTATTTCAATGACCATATCACGGCATCTCTGATTATGCAGATTATTATAAAATTTTCATGAAATTAAGAGTGCTATAATGACCGTTCAGATTTTTACCACAGCGACAAGATTGTGAAATTTAATATTTTAGAAGAGAATGAAAGAGTAGAGGCTAAAGAAATTATGAAATACCTTTCGGACAAAAGCCGGCGTAAATTTTTGAGCCGCAAGCGCATTAATCCGCTACTGGAAATTTATAATGATATCCATCTGGTGTAGCAGTGAAATGAATTGGTAAATCGAGAAAAAGTGTAGAACAAACAAAAATAGTATGTAGTTTGAATAAACTAATTATACACTCGTTGTTATTATTCAGTGCAAGCAAAATTTTAGGGAATATCGTTCGGCTTTGCACATAACCTCACAGCGAAATTAAAAACTTAATTTTTAAAACTACTCAGTGCTCCCACGAAAATACGTAAAATGAATACAAACACACTTATCGCTATCCCTATCCGCGCTATTTACCTCTCTAGTTTATCGATGCAGGCATCCTGATAGTCATGTATCCACGTGACACCATTGAAATGACAAACGCTGCGCATGTCTTCGGGCAATCGATCGGGTTCTGGCCACATAAATTGTTGATCGATTATTGGAATAATATTGCAATTTGATTTCAAGGCCGCTACGATTTCCTGCGTCAACAACAAAAACAAAAACAAAAAAAATCACTAAGCAATTTGATCCAAGCCAAATACAAATCGTGGTGACTGTGGCTACTTACACGATGCACCCAATCCTTGCCTTCTTCGTCGTCTAAGCAACGCTGCAGCGCATTTGGTGTTAATACTAAAACGAAATTCTTCGCCTGACGAATACTGTTCAACAGTCCGTTATCGAATTTGCCCGCTTCCAGGCGCTCAACATCGATGAACACCGAGAAGCCGCGTAACTGCAAGTGCACCTGAAAGCGAGATGGCAAAATATTCAATCACTTTTTTTTGTTATTTTCGCACACTCGTCAAACCTACCTTCAACAAGCTGGCCAATTGCGAGCCATTCGAGCGGCGATAGCTCACGAAGACATCCAACGTCTTTGCCATATTCTCTTCCGATGAGCTGGGCAATGAGTTTTCCAGGTTCTTGACTGCATTCAGAATGCGCAGCCGATGTATCGAATTTTTGATGCCACACTCCGCGATTAACATATCTTCATTCAGCTGTGGCAACGAGTTTCGATCTATGCCTGCATGCAGCATTGCATATGTGTAGGTGCAG